TGACTTTTAAAATAGTCAACACGCCCGGCTCCAGCCACATACTGGGAGCTGGCTGGCCAATGCACGGCTGAAGCCTGAGGAAACTTCTCAAGGGACTTATCTTAATTAAACTTTGAACCTTAAGAAAAGGGTGGTGGGAGGGAAATGTCACAGGAAAAAATAAAAATTAGCCCACCACCATGGTACTAAGACCCAAGGAGGGACCACGTACCAACCCTCTAGCCCAGATTCCACTTCTGCCCTAAATCCCCCAGGAGTAGGACCCCTTTCTTTGGATAAATTAAGGATTTAATTTCCCAAGAAGACCAGTCAGAAATGTTGTGAGCTCCTGTTACCCTGCCCTCTCCCATTCCCCTGCCCTACAGGCAACCTCCTGCCCTTTCCTGTTCCCCAGCTCCTCCACCCTATGGGCCTTCCCAGCCACATTCCCATGCTCGCCAGAATTTAAAGAGGCACGGAAAGTCCCGAGTTTCACAAAACCCTCAAGTTCTCAGAAGATGAACAATGGTGGAAAACTCAACTGAGGTTTGCTCAGTAGATGAACAATGGTGGAAAACTCACCAAGGCTTGATTAATTACTGTTGTATAACCATAACCATTGTGATTTAAGATGTATCCATTGATCAATTATTGTCATATAATCATAACCATTGTGATATGAGACATATCCATTGACAACCAAGCTGTAACCCTGCCAATGGCAACATTCCTCATGCCCCCCTGCTCACTTAAGCTAAGCAGAGATAAAAGGGTATAAAGGACAACAAACCCTACACTTCGGGGCTGCTTGTCTCAGAACAACAGCCCCCTGCGCTACCAATTAACAGCATCTGAATGGGTCCGAGTTTATTTTTTCATAACCCCAAGGTTATTTCACAACAAATGCTTGCCAACTTGAATTTTCCCACATTATATACCTCTGATTATTTGCTGATGGTCTCCACAAAAACATTATTACAACAAGGATAAGTGAAAAAAGGAATCTCCAAAATGCATCATCAACCCAGCGTTCCATCCAATCCTAAAATAAGGACAATTCAAAGATGAAAAGTGAATTTTCTGATAAACATACAGGTTTCTCATTCAAAGAGTATATCATGACAAGAACTAATAAAAATTTTTTAAACAACAATTCTTCCAAATAAATAAGCACATCTTTTCAAGAAACCTATATTGTTCAAAATGTTTCTAAAAGGCTCTTTAATGTTGTAAATGGTTCCCTTCCAAAAATTTTAGGGTTAACAGAAAGATTCAGAAAACAAAAAATCCAAAACACATACTTAGAACTTCAGGTTGAAAAAACTAAGGTGAGGAAAGAAGAAATTCAGAAGATTTGGCTTCTTTTTATTAAATTGTCTCTGAGGCAACAGAAGCTCAGTACTTTCAAAGGGCTCTTTGTGATTATTTATACAGACTTAGAGACTGTCTCCAAATATTAAGAAACCCCC